AGAGAGAGAGAGAGAGAGAGAGAGAGAGAGGGAGAGAGGAGAGAGGATAGAGTTGAGCGAGAGCCGAGAGAAGGGAGGAGAGAGAGATAGGAGGTAGAGAGAGAGACGAGGAGGAGAGAGGAGAGAGAGAGAGAGAGAGAGAGAGAGAGAGAGAGAGACCGGATTTTGCCAAATTTACAGACTAATATGCTAATAGGTCGTCTCTAAAAAACTAGTAAAGATTAGTTTCAGATTATTTTTCATCCAGTCTGCGCACTCATGTTGTTTTGTACCAAATGGTAGCTTGATCGTTTATCTATGTGGAACCGCAGCACAGTTTAAGTTTGGTACCACACAAGAGAGGTTACGTAACCAAACCTAAGATGACCTCAGCAAACCTGACCTGACCTAACCTTACCTTGCCTAATCTAACCTAACCTGAGCACAATATTCCCCGCGCGCATCGTGCGAAGCTTTCTTTTGCAATACAATGCGAAGGGCTTGCTGCCTCTGTAAAATCATACGTCTCGTTTCGTTTATTCCGGTAATTGTTTGTCTGTACTCATGTGTGCTCGAAAATGACTTACTTTGCCGGCTAACATTAGTGATTTAATAGGTGCATGATTCTACGACTCTATACTATATACTATGCTACGCAGTATTGTATTCGAGGATTATCTGTAAATTAACGTGCGCACAAACTGAACCCAGAAACCACAGCCACGGTCAACTAGTGCAATCTGATTCGAAGCAGTGGATATCAGTCTAAGGTAGAACGTCAGATGTAAGCCGCTGGTATACCGCCTTCAGTCTGTGCCGCTAGTGAACCTAGTCGCTTGATTTGACCAGTGCAGAGAAACACAAGATCCGCACACTGGCGTGGATCACCGTCGCTGTACATGACTGAAAACAAGGTTTTCAGGACAGTTGGGTTCAAACGACACTGTCGCTTGTTTATTTTACCACTTGACACGAGTCACACCCTGCCGTTCCGACGACTCATCAACACACATATACATCAACGACTTATAAAGCCAAAACAGTGCATCCATCTATCCCACATGCATTTGGCTGCTGAAAATATTCCTGGGTATGTCACCTTAAACTGACTGTCTGTCCCTTTTCACGACAAGATAGCATTCACTCATAGCAAAGATGAAAAAAGGGCGCACGGCGTGAACTTAAGTTGTGACCTCGATGCTGCCGTAATCATCACTGAAAGAGGTCAGCAACCACCCGCCAGCCCGCCACGGAACCGTCGCGTAACACCGAGCTTCGGTCTGCACAACACGAGGTCGAACACGTCTGTTTTGATTGTTTCCGCCTGCCGCAGCGCCGTCCGGCGACACTTGAAGACGTGGGCGGAAGAGCTCTGATGCGCGATATGCGTGCGTGCGTGCGTGCGTGCGTGCGTGCGTGCGTGCGTGTGCGTGTGCGTGTGCGTGTGCGTGTGCGTGTGCGTTGCGTGCGTGCGTGCGTGCGTGCGTGCGTGCGTGCGTGCGTGCGTGCGTGCGTGCGTGCGTGCGTGCGTGCGTGTGTGGTGTGTGTGTGTGTGTGTGTGTGTGTGTGTGTGTGTGTGTGTGTGTGTGTGTGTGTGTGTGTGTGTGTGGGTGTGGGTGTGTGGGTGTGTGGGTGTGTGGGTGTGTGGGTGTGTGTGTGTGTGGGTGTGTGTGGGTGTGTGTGTGTGGGTGTGTGTGTGTGGGATGTGGAGTGCGACCTTTGAGACTCACAAAACACGTGGCGGCGCGGCGGCGCCCTCAGAACCCAACTCGGCCTGCCCGCAGCAACACTCAGAACACCTCGGGGCGAACACGAAGCAGACACCACTCAGTCATTACGGCGTTTCACGACAGGCGACTCACGAGTTCTGCGCAGTCTACGCAAGGTCACTGAATGGGATAAGGTCATCCGTGCCCGCATCAGTACAGGTGCCTCCGGCGACCACGTCAGAAAGCCAAGCTCTGGACAGCAGCCAATCAGCTTCCGCCGAGACGTTCAACGAGCACATGGAGCACATCGCGTTGTCGTGCGCGGACGCGGCGTTTTTACACACGCACAAAACAAATGAAACGCCACGGCGGTGAGCGCATTGTGACATGGATTGAAGACGTCAAAACACGCACGATATACACCATGATCATTCATAAGCATGTTACAAAAGCAGAAACACTTCGGCTGCAGCTGCAGTAATGCGTGAGGACCTGTACATCATTGGTCACGATTCGATATATAGATCCCTCCCCCCAACACTCCCTTCCTCTCCCTCTCTCTGTCCCAGTGGTCCGCAGCCAACGGCAACAGCCAACACCACGTGTGACGCCCTGGGACCAAGCCGCGGTCATGCAGAGGGCAGAACACCACTTGAAGCGCAAACCGCACAGCTCGCCGTCGCGTTTGGCAGCACCGCAAGGACACGACGGGAAGGGCTACCGTCCCTGAAATTGCTCACATAGCGGCAGACTCGGCGCGCCTCGCCTGTGACGCAGATAGCGGAAAAATACTGCCCCGCCCCAGTCTCTCACCTCACCGTGAGACTCAGGTCAACGCTGGCTCCACTCCGGAGTCTCTCAAAGTCAGCATGTCTCAGTCAGCATCCGCTGGTCCCCGTCCCGCACCGTCAGCAGCGGCGTTCACCTCAGCGCCCGTCAGAGGGTCAGACCACCTCGCCGTCGGTCAGAGGGTCAGACCACCCGAGCACCGGTCAGAGGGCTAGGCCAACTCAGCGCCGGTCAGAGGGTCAGACCACCCCAGCACCGGTCAGAAGGTTAGACCACCCCAGCACCGGTCAGAAGGTTAGGCTACCTCGCCGTCGGTCACAGGGTTAGGCCACCTCGGCGCCGGTCAAATGGTTAGGCTACCTCGGCATCGATCAGAGGGTCAGACCACCTCAGCACCGGTCAAAGGGTCAGACCACCCCAGCACCGGCCAGAGGGCGGGCCGCGCCGGCGGGCCATGGTCGGGTCGACATTGCTGCGGCCCTCGGCCCCGAGGCGGGGATCTCCGCCCCTGGAGTGTTGGCAGCCCAAGCCGGCGTTCTCGCGAGCCGATCACCCCCTCCCCTCCAACCACCTCGAGATCGTTGACGTGTTGTTCTGACCGGTGAGGGGCATCCTACCGAGCGAACTTCCCTGAGCGGACACGCCGCCCCCAGCCCATCGTGATCACAGCTTGTCCTTGCGAGTGCGCCAGCGCCTCATCGCTCCCTTCCCCTCCCTCAGTCTGGCAAGGAAACTGCATGTTCACGAGGACATCGACCGCTGTCTGTCCGGCGGAGGGCCCACTCACGACGGACCTCGGTCTGTCTGTCCGGTGGAGTGCTCACATCCAACGGACTTCGCCCCCGGCCTGCCGGCTCCGCCAGACTCTCTCCGGCAAGACTGCGGGCCGTCCATCAGACCTCGTTGCCTCTGAGAGCCAGACTGTCGGGCCCCAGACTGGTGTAGGCGTCCAGCTGCAGCGCCGCGCCAATGCTCGACTTCCGCCGGCCGGGCGCGCTCTGAGAGAAGTAGCCCTCGCGCCGCGGTTTCAGATGACGGTTGTTGGCCTCCATGTGCACGATCTTCATGAACTCGATCTGCGCCGCCAGCTTCTGCACCTCCTCCTGTGGTGACGCAGGTTATAGGTCAGTCGGCTTGCAAAGGTCATGCAGGTCATGACAAAGGTCATGTGTCCGCACACGTGCGGGGGCGAGTGACAAACACCGGCGACAGAGGTCGTATAATTTGCCTAGAACGCGGACGTCCGTAGTTAAGGCAGCTCGCAGAGGAGGCATAGTTAACGCGGAACCCATGAGCTGTGCGCAGAGGTCACGTGCCTTCATAGGTCACGGAGAAGACGGGTGGACCGAGGTGCCTTCAAACATAGTTAGGCTTGTTCAAACTGTCAGCTATCCACAAACGGCGAGTTTCTGTTCTGTGTTGTTGTTCGCATGTGACAGCAGCAAGAAACCTTCCACTTTCTTTTTAATTGGTGTACCGGGAAATGCTGAAACCCAACTGACCAACATTTCACATTTCACAGTTTTCAGGCAACTCTCTAGGAGCGGGAGTATGAACCTTTAGTTCTTCATTCTCCCGATAGATGCTGATGTCCTCCTCGTCTGGCTCGATGCCGTTCAGGTAGAAGGAGGCGGCGGCGCCGCGGGCCTGAGCCCGTGCGTCATATTCGTCGCCGAGCCCGACGGCGATTCTGTAAAACTGTAGCAGACGCTCTCTTCAGGAGGGCCTCTCACCCGCGCACCACTCACGCCCCAGGCCAAAATAAGACGAGAGGTTCATGACGGAGAAGCGGAATACGGAGCCGGTGACCGGAAACCGTTTGTGGATATCATTATTTGCAAGACTGTGGCAGAGAAAAACGAATGCAGTCGTTTTCGTGCGGCGGGATATACCGATTATAAAGAGGGAAGCCCTTCCTGAACACGGTGCGCTGCCACGCACGCATAAGACTGCATAGCACGCTACTTCGCTATCATGTAAAGCATAGGTGGTACAGCTAGATAGGCGCACGCTTCAGCCTCGGCGCCAATAAGAGTGCATTGGTGATGCAGTGTACATAACATCTCCGCTGAAGCCGGGAGCTATTTTTGCCCGCGTGGCGAAAAAGAGGCTGGCATGCACCTCTCGCCATTTCGTTCAAAACTGAACAATCTCGTCGACAAAAAACGTCGGCAGCATGGTGTCTCAGAAATACCAGCCGCAGTCGGTTCGGTCTCTTGGCGTCAACCGATGAACGCCCAACTCAGGTTACACATTATGCTAAAGAATCCAAGGCTACATTTAGGCCACGACTTCCTTTACATGACACGATACCTACTTAGCCCTTTTGTCGCGAAATCACGTTCTGAATCAGATTTAGTGCGCTAAGTGGTCAAAGCATGATCTATGGTAGCAAATTGTCTTCCTAAGTCATTGCAACACATTGATTAAGGTCATGAACTGCAAAGGTGATTGATATTGTTGCAGACTGTTACACTCTGCAGATCGTGTGCCCATCGGTGACATTCATTGCCAGTGAAGAAGAAAAAAACACCAAACACTTTTGAAGCAAATACGACTTTGCGGCCCTCCAAATCTCACAGCTCAGCGAGTTCACACGGTTTGGAACCAATTGTTGTGCAACGCACGCCATGAGCGGATTCGAATATCCAAGATGTCGCGACTCTTCCTTCCATCGCTCTATGACGTTCCCAGAAATACCGCTTGGGAATACCACAGACACTCCGTTAAGGTTAGGGCCAAGTATCTTACCTTGAGGAACAGGCCAGTGTGATAACGGCACCGTGTGCACACTGTGTACACCACCTTATGCACCGAGCATCTGAACGAAATGATGAGATCATTCCAACGGGTACCGTGTGCGGCCATCAGGCCTCCTTCTTCGGGTTGTAGGGCCAGCGCAGCGGGGGCGCCGGCTGGCTCCAGAGTGCACTACTGTGGGTCACATGACACCTCGGTGGCGGTGCTGTGCGTACCCTATCTCTGGCACCAAAAACAAAGGCACAGCACTGTTGACGAGACTGTTCAGTCTCCTGCCTTGGGCGCCAGGATCAGTGCGATGGTGTTAGTGGTGCTGAGCTAGGTCCTCACGAAGACCGTTAAGTCTCCTGCCTTGGGCGCCAGGATCAGTGCGATGGTGTTAGTGGTGCTGAGCCGGGTCCTCACGAAGTCCGTTGAATCTCCTACCTTGGGCGCCAGGATGAGTGCGATGGTGGTGGTGGTGCTGAGCTGGGTTCTCACGAAGCCACACAGATACTTCACGTCCGGTCCGGACGGCACCAGCAAACTGAAACAGAGCCGCAGGCAGCATCAGCCGCAGCTCAGCCTACAGCGGCGACAGCTGTTTGGCAAACAAGTCAGCTCGTGCAGTGTCTGAGCACGCCTGGCGCGTCATGTCCATGCCATGTGGCAGTCACACAGCGTTTCAGTTTGCACGTCGCACCTTATGCCGGATACCCCCGACCTTCCAGCTCCATGTCGTGCCAGTACCAACCGCCCGTCAGTTCCATGCCGTGCGTCAGAGCTACTCCACGCGTCAGTCGCTCCATGCATCAGTTCCATGTGATGCGTTAATGCCTCGCGAGGCTCCACGTCAGTATCCTCGCGTCCTCGCCGGGCCCTCCACTTCCTGCGTTTTCGGGTCACCGTGGCAACGCAACACAACACCGTTCCACGTCACCGGTTTAGTGGCCGGTCGCCAGCTGACCCCACCACCACGAGTCGTCACTCACTGCACCATGGCCATGGTAATGTTGACGATGGCGATGTTGTAGATGGCCCAGCTGATGTACTTGGCCTCGTCGAACAGCGTCTGCGCGTTCCGCACGTTGACGCACACCTTGATGCCCCAGAAGAGGAACAGCAGCTCCCCTGCCGCACAAATATAGTCTCCGTCATACAAACCTCAATTCACGGCCGCGGTATTTCATCTCGCGCTGTACTACGCGGCATGGTGTGTGCAAGAGAGAAACTTTCGGAATGACAGTCACTTTCTCGTCACATAACGACACTCTCATAACGACGACACTCACTACATCGCCGTATAACGACACTCACTTCACCGCCATATAACCACCCACCCTACATATCATCATATAACGACACTCACTACATCACCACATAACGATACTCACTACACCGCGATAAGACGACACTCACTACATCGTCATATAGCGACGCTCACTACATCATCATATAGCGGCACTCACTTCATCGTCATATAGCAACAGTCACTACATCGCCTGATAACGACTGTACCGGCGTGAAACTGCGCAGTCAGGCGGCCCAGCAAATTGACCCGATCGATTGACCTGATCGAGCGGCTGCAACAGCTCGATGTTTCAGGGTATTGTTTTCAACACCTGCGCCTCTGACGTCACTTCCGCTGGGCACGTGTCCCGCGGACGACCAGAGTTTCATTAGGAACGTGCCGCGTGACCAAGCGCTTGCTAACTAAGCCCGATGTGGGACAAACACCAGAAGGACAAGCGAAACAGCCAATGTTTGGCGTTCACCGTCAGTTCATGTCATGTCAGTATCGAAAAAGGAATGAAGCTCTGCCCCTCTGTAGCAGTTTGGCACGAGTCAGAGCACAGGCGTGCATCATACGCAGTCAGAGCACAGGCGTGCATCATGCGCAGTCAGAGCACGGGCGTGACCGGTGTCGTCACGTTCGTGACGACATACTGGGCTGTGGGCGGGGGTGTGGGCTGACCTGCCGCTATGGAGTGGTCCCACCAACCGAACTCGCACTGCCGGAACTGGAGGCCCTCGGCGTCCCGCACAACGACGGCCTTCGGAGGGTCACTGATGGTCCACGAGCTCAGGTAGATGATCTGCAGCGTACGGACACACGGGAGGTGGCAAGGGTTCGGTGTCATGGGAGGCGACACGGATCCGGTGTCATGGAATACGACACGGATCATGTGTCCCCGGAGGTGACACGGGTCCCGTGTCATGGGGGGTGAACCGGGTCAGGTGTCAAGAACTAGGTCAGGTGTCATGGGGAGTGACACGATTCAGGTGTCGCGAGGGGTGACACGGGTCCGACAGCTGATACAGGCCTCACTACAACTACAACACTACACTACAACAGACACGTATGCGAACTAACGCAGGGCTGCGAAGTGAAAGTGGCAAAATCTGCCAAAAGGACACTAGTCTGCCGACGAACACAAGGCAGCCCACTTTTACCAGTCTCCAACTGGATCCTGGGCTTTCAACTGGACAAGAAACAATTTCGCCGAATGAAGCAGAACCACCGACTGAAACAGGTCACACAACTGACACCGGTCGGCAGTCTGCGTTCTGCATTTAAAAACGTTCACCCAACACGTGAATTGAGTCACGTCGACGAGCAGTTGCACCCAATGTCTAGTCGCCGACTCTTTACCATAATGAGCAGAATCGGGAACAGCCACTGCAGCAGCTGCTTGTCCGTGAGCTTCAGCTTATGCGCCGACTTCACCCGATACGTCAGGGACACCCTGGAGCGTGACACCTGGCTGGTGACAGAGCGGAGCGCGGCGCGGGGCACAGGGCACAGCTCTGACGACACACAGCAGCACACACAGCGGTACAGCACAGCACAGCAGCACAGCACAGCACAGACGAGACGGGTGTGTCGTGACACGGATGTCGGCGTTCTCTGGGGAAACGCCTGAAACTGTGACCGGATATGGTTGTCGGTTATCTTAAGAGATCGAGCATCGCACGCATCGCCTTCTTGTGATGATTCTCATTGTGTGTGATGTGATTTGCGAGTGAATTGAAAACAGACGCTTGGGGTCCATTCGCCCGTGGTGTACGTTGGGTCAGCCTTTTGGGGTCATTTACCGGCCCGCTGTATGCTCGGCTGACGCTCGATGGACTGAGCATCTTTCAATTAAGCACCAGCGGCATGCAGGGAGGTGGCACTTCCTAACTTGATTGGCACACCAAATGATCCACAGCATTTGAAATAACATGTCAGTCCACTGCTGGAAGAAGGAAGTCTACGACAGTAAGAGAACTTATCCCGCGGGGGACGTCCAACGTACACCTGTTAATAACCACGTTATGTATATGTTTCATAAAACCTAGACATTGAAGCTTTTGGCAATTCAAGCTCACATGTACAAACGTATGCGTACAATATATATATATATATATATATATATATATATATATATATATATATATATGTGTGTGTGTGTGTGTGTGTGTGTGTGTGTGTGTGTGTGTGTGTGTGTGTGTGTGTGTGTGTGTGTGTGTGTGTGTGTGTGTGTGTGTGTGTGTTGAATTGGGGGAGAGGGAACCACACCCTACCTTGTGCCCGGAGGGGATCTATAGGCTCCGGGAACCCAGGAACATTCAAAATGACGCAGTTTTCTCACACAAAACGGCACAGAATTGGACGCCTTTGAGCCTCCAGACGACCAAGAACAGTCACAGGCGAAAGTGACGAGCCCGTGAGTAGACGCGATTAACTCTTCGCTGATTAGGAGGGTGGTAATTGCGCGACATTTTAAGGCTCATTTCACTGTCCAGTCGATACGCTGTTGTCAGGGCCCCAAATGCAGGATACACCAAGTTGCTCAGGGTCCATTCATGTCTGTATTGGGTTATTTCCACTCGCTCGGAGGGCCTTGTTCTGTTGCTGGGGCCTGTATAAGGAAGGCACCAAGCCACTCGACGCCTAGGCGCCTTCCACATTGATTTAGGTCTCTTTCCCTTTGATCTCGTTTACGGAGGACCCTTCACTCCCATCGGAGTCCCTTTCTGTTAACCTGCCCGGGCGCTCTTGGTCGCACAGGGGCATTCATTCACACACACTGGTCTTCGATAATTCCTCTTTGCTCAGAGGGTCCTGTGCTCTGGCCTGTCAGCCTGCCTGCCGGCTGCCGGGGTATTCCGGATCATTCGGGGGCCAACCATGTTGGTCTGCGGTTCTTCCCGCTCGCTTTGAGGACCCTATGCTTGTTGAGGGAAGCCTCTCTGTTGTCCCGCCGTAGCACCCGTAATCGCTCAGGTTTCGTCTCTAATGGCCCTAGTGCAGCCTCGGAGCAGCAATGGGATATGCCCCGATGAGTGTTTAACCGCAAATGTCAAACATAATTTTACGTGGCGCCGACGTCGTATGAGACATTTCCGTTGGTTATTGATGCTTGCGCATCACCCTCTTACTACATTCTAAATACTAGGATATTTTGCCCTCCTTGAAAACAAAGCAAAAACTCTGCGTTAGTCATCAGCCATCAGCTGATCACATCGATCAGCCGGCTAGCGGTAAGCAAGCTAGGAATCAAGTTCATGCTAGATTGTTATGTTATTTAACCAACAATTTTACACCATTTCCCCATGCTTTTCCGAAAAAAACTTAGCCTAACAATGACAGAATTCACAATCATCTGGAGAAAAGATCTACGCACCATGCGTGTGCATCCGCAGCACGTTTGGTTTTCTAAGGATGCGCACCGTAAGTTGGGTTTTCGTACACAAAAACGTGCTGAAAGTCTTAAACTCTAATGGTTGAAATGTGAAGATTTTTGGAGGAGGGGCCTGAACTCTAGGGGGCCCAAAATGTTGCTCGCCTCCCCTTGACGAAACACTGGATCCGACCCTGGTCACTCCCAACAGTAAACACTTTGTCATGCGTCGGGGATCCAAGCTTTTCCGGTGTTGTTTGTCCGAATGTGTCGAGTTCAAATGCTTTGACGCAAGAATGCTCTCCCACAAACACCACAGTCAACGGCGTTTTCACTGACGCTGTCGTGACTTAACACGGGCCTGGTTAAGCCAACACGATGACTGACCGCCACGCCACAGGTCTCACACAGGAATGGCTCGTCAGCCTGGTGGACGCGGGTGTGATTGCCTTCTTTGCTCCGCCTTGAAAACGGTCTCTCAGAAACACTGCAGCCAAATGTTTCCTCGCTTACGTGTGTAACCCATCACCATGTCAGACCAGCACGGCCTCCGAAAGACTCCCCACATGCCGCTCAACTGAAAGGTCTCACTTCCGTGTGCACGCAAGCGTGGACACGCATCTCACGCGGACGAGAAAACGACCTTCGATTGTTTCGATTTTCGAAAACGATTTTCCACACAACCTGTAAATGCCACAGGTATGCGCCAGCATAGGTTCTCAGGTAATCAGCAGAAATGAGACGTAGGAGCAAACAACTTGCCCCAGACCCGGCACCTGAATGAATTCCAACCAACGTGGGTGCCCGTGCGGCTGTCGAGATGACTCCGCAATAAATGATGTCCCACAGACACCACAACTGTATACGGCTATCGCTGTGAGCAAATGTATGCACATTCATGAGCAGCCTCCTGGTAGATGACAAGAAGCAGCAACTGTATGGCTTATCGCTGTGAGTGAGAGTCTGCACATCGGTCAAGACTCTCCTGTTAAATGACAAAGAACCGCCGCTGCACAGCTCATCACCAGTGTCCAACTGAGAATGCTCTGTAAGGCTGCCTCCGCGACAGTACAGCTTACCGCACCCTTCACACCTATGCCGCTGCTCACCGGTGAGGTCGGAGCACGAAAAGCTAGATGCTGGTGGCGACGGGACGAATTGCCACAAACTTTGCAACGAAACAGCTTCCCCCCGGTGTGAGCGTGGATGTGGTGTGATTCATTTTCATTTTTGCACAGAGCGAATTCCTGAGGGCTGCAAGTGTATGACCTCTTGCGGTTGTGGGTCTGGTAATACTTCAAGACGCTGCTGAAGCAAAACGAAATGCCACAAATTACGCAGCTGAATGCCTTGCTAGCTGCATGGTTCTGAACTTCGTGGTGTTGTTTAACACTCGCTCGGGTGGGGTGTCAATTTAACTTCAGAAGGTTTTTTCCAGGATGACTTCCGAACGGCGCAGCGTAGCCGCGCCAAACTTTACATAGCTGTAGACATTTGAATAGCGATCTTTTGGTACACAGATCAGATGTACCTTTTATGGCTGATGACCTATGACAGGTCAAAGTTAGGCCATGGTTTTTAACGAAGGTCATTTCTAGGGAATCTTTCAATCTGATGCGACAACGTAGTGTTACAGGAAGTCATTCATTCTGAGATGGTATCTAGGCAATCAACCAATAGAACGTAGAAATACAAGCACCATTGACCTAAGCTCAGGTATGAAGATCAGACCGAGGTCAAAACATGCTCCTTTTCACTCGAGAGCCTATTTATAGAGGTAGATTCTGGTACTCATTTCAAATTTATCAATGACAAGGACCGCAACAGCCTTTTCCTTGGACTTTTTACAGGTCAGACTCACTGGCCACTCACTGGTAGGTCACTGACTTTAACTGACCTGTATGAACATTTCGTTTTTGGGGACATAAGGCCTAGCGTAATCCCGGTGGCTTATCTGAATCGCAAAATCGGAGCAATCTCGTAGTTTGTTTGGTCACCTTGACCTTCTAAGTTAAGCAAGTTAACCGACCTTAAACAAAAACCGCTAACCACTTGCTTAAAACAGTTATCTAGGTTCACGGCAATTGCGTGAGTCCTGAGGGCATTTTGAAAATGAATCTGAAGTGTGACCTTGTTTGACTTCTTTAGCCTCAATGTCGTAACCTAGGAACCCGAAGTTTTGACACAAGTGAGTTCGCATACAGGCTAGCCCACCCCGTCAAGTAAATGCCCCCAGCTTTCTTAAGGTTCGAGCCTCAGGGCGCTCAAATTGACCCCCACCCGAGCGAAGGGTACTCAGCCGACCACCCGGGCGTGTGTTGATGCGTTTTGCCAGATCACCTTGGTCTGAACACTGGTCATCACCGCGGTCGCAGGAGAGGTCCGGAACACCCGAACATGATACGTTTAGACGGTTTTTGTGCGCCATCATGTTTCATGACTTGAACAGTTTCAGCTCGCGCGTTAGTAGCCGCAGAGACACACAACTTAGGCACGTCATCGTTGCGGCTGTTCCAGCGGCTGCGGCGTTGCGGCTGTTTCAACTGACTGCACATTGTATTCTGTTCAGGGTCTGCGGCATAATTTTTAATTGTGTGCTTTCGAAATGTAGCCTTAAAACATCTGCCGTATTCCGGAGTGTTAAATGTCTCTAAACATTCGTCTGATCATTAGGATAGCAAACTTAATACACAAGTGCAATGAGCACATATTTCTCTTCCGCGGTCCCGTGTCCTGTGCCAGGACTGCTCCGCGGCGAACGCTAAACGAACTATTCCGGGACCGCACACACGTGGTATGTGCCGGGCAAAGCAAGTGTGCCTAGCACTGAACCACGACGCATTAACGAGGCACGTTGATGCGTCCTGGTAATTCGCGGTGACGGCTGGCGCTGCAGAACGTTACATCAAAAAAAGGTCGATGAAAGTCAAACCGCAAGGCCGTAGAGTCGCACCCTCCTTAGACCATCCCCAAGAACTCACCCCAGAGAGGCCGGATGAAGCAGGCCCGCAGTGCCTGGAAAGACCATTCCCCGCGTCCCTCATTATGCATGCCCCGGGTTGAGACATTCGCTTCCTTGCGCGTGCGCCAACTCGGCT